AAATTGGCCAGGCTAGTCTCTAACTCCTAACCTCAGGTGATCTGCCTGCCTCAGACTCCCAAAGTGCTAGGATTACAGGCACCAGTACTGCACCTGGCCAACAAAAGTTGAGTTTGTTTTTTGTTTTGCATTTTTTGAGATAAGAGTCTTGCTCTGTCACCCAGGCTGGAGTGCAGTGGCATAATCTTGGCTCACTGCAACCTCCACCTCACTGGTTCAAGCAATTCTCCTGCCTCAGCCTCCCCAGCAGCTGGGATTACAGGCCTGCCACCATGCCTGGATAGTTTTCATATTTTTAGTAAAGACAAGTTTTCCCCATGTTGGCCAGGCAGTCTCGAACTCCTGACCTCAAGTGACCCACCCGCCTCATCCTCTCTTAGAGTTGGGATTACAGGTGTTAGCCACTGAGTCCTGGCCCTTCCATCAACAAAAGTTTTGACACAGGATCTAATTATGAGATATTCTGTTGATGAAATGGATAGATTTCTAAAAATTACATTCAAAAAATGCATTTATATCACTATAAAATACAAGAAAAAATTTACTTCAATTTTTTTAGAAAAAAGTTTCAATAATTATAAGTGAGTCTTACAGTAAAACCATACACAACATCTAAAGTTAAAAAGGAAAGTCATCCACTCCCCCAGGGATAACACACGTAATGGTTTTATGTCTGTCCAAATAGACCTTTTTCTAGTCACATGCAAAATGAAAACAAAACTACATTTATTTGTCCATGTGTTTTTTGTTGTTGCTGTTTTTGAGACAGTCTCATTCTGTTGCCAAGGCTGGAGTGCAGTGGCACCATCCCGGCTCACCACAACCTCCACCTCTTGGGTTCAAGCAATTCTCATGCCTCAGACTCCCGAGTAGCTGGGACTACAGGCACACACCACCTTGCACAGGTAATTTTCGTATTTTTAGTAGAGATGGGGTTTCACTATGTTGACCAGGCTGGTCTTGAACTTCTGACCTTGTGATCCACCCACCTCGGCCTCCCAAAGTACTGGGATTACAGGCATGAGCCACCGTGCCCAGCCCTATTTTTTTTTTTTTAAATAAATCACATTCTGTAATGCAACTCGTTTTTTTACTCAATTTTATATCATGAACATTCTTCCATGTCAATACATAATAGTAACGGCAAACACTTATGTGGTGCTTATTATGCTTACTTAAGGTATAAGTGTTAACTCATTTAATTCTCATCGTATCCCTGTAAGATGAGAACTACCAGCATATCCAATTTATAGTTGACTTTAAGTAATTTGCCAAGAGTCACAGCTCGAAAGTGGTGCAGTTAGGTTTTGAACCCAGAAAATCCACTGCACAGTCCCAGGAGCTGAAAGATATGCTCAGCTGCTGCTCATGAAGTTAATATAGATATCCTGAAACCTGCTAACAACTGCATAGTAATGCTAACATAAACTTTCTTATAGAATTCCTGTGCTGTGTTAAAATTTATGTAAGATAAACTCCTAAACAGGAAATGATTTTATGAAAGAGTATATACACTTTTAATTTTGTTACAAAATGCCAAATCTCCTTCCAAAAGGTTGCGTCAATGGTATCAATTCATAGTACCAATTACAAAGAAGAGGGATCAGATTCATTTTTAAGTTAATACTTTTGATTCATGAAAAAAAAGGGTCATTTTGAGTTTTTAATTAATACTGATTAGACTGCCAGTTGATCACAATTATGCTCTGATTTTATAATTATCTGAAATATTATAGACTCAGCAGCTGTGTAGTAGATTCTTCTTCCAGTTATGAAATCAACTATGTGTGAGATATCACCCCTACACAACCTCTGTTTTCATATGTATAAAATACGGGAATTGGACTAGATGGCCTTGAAGAATTTAAACTCCCAATGCTGTGATTAAGAAGTGACTTAAAGTTATTACAAGCCTGGCTGGACTTAGTGGCTCACGCCTGTAATCCCAGCACATTGGGAAGCCAAGGCAAGCAGATCACCTAAGGTCAGGAGTTCGAGACCAGCCTGGCTAACAGGGTGAAACCCCATTTCTACTAAAAATACAAAAAACTAGCCAGGCATGGTGGCACAAGCCTGTAATCCCAGCTACTTGGGAAGCCGTGGCAGGAGAATCTCTTGAACCTGGGAAGCGGAGGTTGCAGTGAGCCGAGATCGTGCCATTGCACTCTATCTTGGGCAACAAGAGCGAAACTCCAACTCAAAAAAAAAAAGTTATTACAAGCCTGTAATTACAAAGTTATTACAATACTGTAATACTAGTATAACAGGTTAGGGTCTTAAAGTTTCTATTTTCTTTAAATTACCATAACCATTGCCAGAGCTCCTAGGCAAATCATTAAAATAGTCAATAAAATTTCCACTGTGGCTTATTTTCAGTGACTTTTTAATCCCAGGATGTCATTCCCCTGCTACCTAACAAATGTGAGCATATCTCTGGAACATATTCCCAAGAGTTGAGGTGTGCCTAGGAACTAAGAACTAGTTTTTTGTTTTGTTTTGCTTTTAAAATATTATCCTGGGACCACTCTTTAGTCAATTTCCTCAACTAGTATTTATTGACTATATTAACATATGCTAGGCACTGGGTGCGTAATAGTGAATAAAGGATCTCTGCCATCATGGAACTTGCAGACCAGATGAGAAAGGGAAAGAATAACCCAAAATAACCACAAGTAAATAAAAAAATCACACTTATGGTAACAATGAACAACAAAAAAAAATCAATACAGAAAAAAATACTATGCAATCTATTTATTTTTTAACTATGACACTAAAATTTTTGGACATGGGAAAAGTCAGTAAGAAAAATTATTTCAGTTTCCCTCACATTGCAAAAATAACAATCATAATTATACACAGAGAATTAACTTTCTAAATCATCAGTTGTCTCAACAATAAAATCAAGATGCTACTACTTTTCAATTATGCTACTGATCATGTGGCTTGATATTTGTTTTATATAACGAAGAGTGTAAATGACTGGAAGAATAAAGAGGACAGAACTGAGTATCCAAACAAAGTGAAAGACAATAAATGAACTACACTTTAAAAATCTTGTTCAAGCAAAAAGTATATACATAAAGAAGTAAAGTGATCCATTATAATTCACGATTTGTTAATAATTAACAAGATATTATAAAAATACTAATGTTTTTAAAGAACTGATGATCATCAGCATAAGGGGCATGTAAAAAGGAACAAAAATAGAATAATTTTTTAAATATTTTAAAATAATGCCAAATGTCAGATTACCTATATTAATATTAAAAATAAAATTCCAGATTATCTGCAGAAATGAGAGGTATTCACATAAATGATTCTGTGTCTCGGTTTACACAATTGCAAAATGATATCTGCCATACCTATTTCACAAGATCACAGTAAAGACCAAATAAAATAATGTATATGGAAGCACACCAAATAATGATGTCAGTTATTTTAGACAACTTTTTTGCTCCCACTATAACTTATAGCAATTTAACAAATAAAATTGATTATAGCGGGACTTCATCTCCTTTCTTCTGCTCATGCTATGGTAGAAGTGTTATAAAATGGGGAAAAGACTGACAAAAGAAGGAAAAAATTCAAAAACTTTATAATTCATAAATTGATTGCCCCACAGGTTGGTTATTCAAGTATTAACGCTCTTACATGACACACACACCAATTTATCTCAGAAAATCAAAGCAATTCTTTCACATATGAATGAAACTTTTTACATATATAACTTGCCATCTCTACATACATACAGTTCTGCTACTGAGGATGAACAGAAGAGATAGAGATACACTTGCATTTATCCACACATACAATGTATTCTAGCTTGAAGTTTATTTTCAGATTACAGCATCTTAAATTTGATGCAATCACGGTTCAAATAATTCAGATTTATTTTATTACATTAAATGGAATTTGTCAATTTAGCACCAAAACTAATTATTTCATGCCCATGGCTTTGAAGCAACTTTCAGCATGGGTCTAACAGCTAAACGTCACAGTTCCATGTCATTAGCAGTGCATTTCCTTGTTTAAAAACGGTATTTTAAACTAAGAAATTTTTAGAATGAAGGGCAACTTTTAGTATTCTATCAGTGTTTCTACAGAACTTTTCAGGTTGTTACGAGCTCTGCCAAAGATAGTCTTTCCTTTAAAACTCTTCAAATACAGGGCAGGAGGTATCGTTAACATGGCAACAATAACGACTTCCCCAAATTCAAAACAAGCATCACCATCAAAACAAAACAATCAGGTGGGGTACATGAAAATTAATCACTACTTCTGACAACCTGTTTTTTCCCATATGAAGGATTTGCTATTGCATTAAAATATTAAAATCTATAACTATGTGCAACTTCCTATCTGAAAATTATAAATCCAGGCAAATTCCAATTCATATCTTGTGACATTAGCTAAATATTACTTAGCATGTTGAGCTACATTTAAATGAAGGCGGAGGAAAATACCGACAACTTCCAAAACATAAAGCTTGTTAAATCTCTTCCTAAATTATCTGTGAATAAATCGGTAGACTACATTCAGTAGCCGCTAGACTAGAGTAGATCAAAGTTTTCCCTATACTTGAGAATGTGATCCCCACCGAAAAGGAAGAGAAATTGATCATCCCTGCTATTGAAGCCAGTCCCCGGAATCTCCCCAAATATGCCTGATCTCCAAATGGAGAAGGGGCACTTCTCCGGAGACCAAAGACGAGAGGTATCTTACCTCTTTGCAGGCTAGAGAAGGGGCGGACGAGGGGGGAGGAGACTGGCAGGTAACGAAGGAAATTCCGTCTTCAGCAGGCACTGGTGGGACCCGAAACCCAGGTCCCGGAAAAGCCTCAGAACCAAGGGAGGTTCCCCAACGGGGACGCCAAGCAGGGCCAAGACTCCCCGCGCCCGGCCCCGCCTCTCTCGCCGCCACCGGGGACCCGGGACCGCGGACAGAGACAGCTGAGGCTGAGCGAGACTCAACGGTCCCAACCAGGTCCTCCTGCGGCTCACCTGAGAGTGTCGCCTCCGCCCTCGGCTCCCACGGTGCATCCCGCGGGGCCTGGCGGAGGGTGCAGTGACGCCGCCCCGACCGGCCCCAGGGCTGCCCGGCCTGGCCTCCCCGCTCCGGGGACGCACCGGGTGCCCGCCTCGCACCGGCTCCGGGGATCCGCCGGTCCGCTGGGAAGGAAGACGAGGAGGAAAGGTTGCCTCCCCTCCTCTAGGGCAAGCCACCCCCCGAGCTGCAGTTCTCTGCAGTTCCCTCTGGCGCAGGTTTGGCCCCGCTCCCCCGCCCGGGAGTCACTTCGGCAGGGGCGGCCCAGTCGCCATTACAGCCCAACAACTGACACGGAGAAGGAGCGGCGCCAGCGGCAGTGGCTGTGGCGGCGGCGCGAGGCAGGGCGGGAGCAGTAGGGCCCAGGAAAGCCTCGCGAGAACTGTCCCGAGACGGTGCCACAGGAATGCAGCCTTCGGTTACAGCCATGTTGAGTGTGGCCGAAAACTGGGAGAGCGATAAAAGAGGGAGCAGAACCACGAGGAAGCCATGTTTGGTGTGGCGAAGTTTAAACTCGTAGGACTCGGGAGGAGCCAAAGTGCATCCGCAGAAGAGACCACCCCTGCCCCTTCCCTTTGACGCTCATTGGGCCTGCTGGCTGCGCATTTTACCCCGGGCCGAGAAAACAAGCTTGGGGATTTGACAAGAACGAACTCAAAGTCTAGAAACGGCAGCTTCTGAGAGTTTACAATGTTTCACCAATTGTCGTCCAAGTAAATCGTCACCCCAGTCAGAGTAGTTGCAGCTCTGCCGTTACCCACTGCTGTCACTGTGGCCATTTTATTCGCGAGGCTTGCAGTTCTGTTTAGCATGCACTCTAATGACTTAAGACTTGACTTGCGTGGGCAAGTAAAACGGAGTTTCCTCCCGTTACGTACTGGCTTCGATATAACAGTGCCTTTAGGGGCCCTCTATGGCCAACGTATCTTCTCATATCTTTGCCCTTGTTTCCCGGTCTCCGCATGATGAATGCTATCATCTGTCAAGACTTGGTTTAAAGGACCTCTCTCCTGCAAATAATGCCACCTTCCACTAGGTGCTCACTGCACACAAACTCGCCGCCCATCGCTTCTGTCCACCTTTTGAACTCCGATAGTTATTTACCCAGAGACTGTTACTCATCTTTAAGTGCCTTGAGGACTTTAAGGTCTCTTTTATGTGGCCTAGCACAGTAATTAGGACATTGTCGGTGTTCAATAAATGTTTGTCGAATATCAATGACAGCAGGAGGCAGTAAATGGTCCCTCTTTATAGGGCCTATAGCTGTGCCTGCATAGGATGTACAGAAGTCCTGCAGACTTGTAAAATCTATCTCCAGGAAGCTGCACTGGAGGGAACAGGAAATGTGGGTAATCATATGTTGCAAGTGGTAGCAAGAAAGACAGCATTAGGAAAATGTTATTTACGTTTTGCCCAGTCTTGCTGTTTAAAGCCCTGTGTTAGACGTTTTTCATGGGGTATTTTACTGAATGTAAACAACCACCTTATTAAATATACTCACTTTTTTAAAACGAAGAAACAAGTACTGAAAAAGCTAAGTCATTTGCCCAATTTTATACTATCGATAAAAGGGAGATAGAAGATTTGGGATCTCCTTTACCCCAAAGCCTGTATTTTTCAGCCCCATGCTATCCCCTGGGCAACAGAGAAAACACGAAAGTTCTGTCACTGTGCTAGGAGCAGTACTACCCTGGTATCAGCCTATGCACAATTTCTACTTCTTATACCTTGTGTTGATCTGTCTTCTCCTCACCTCCTAAATCCCCCAGACATATCAATGTCTTTCTAACATCCCATTACTCTTGTGTTTACCCTACAGATTGGCCCTTGAGTCTATCGTTTTATACTAGTTGCATATAATTTCATGAGAGTGATTAATCTCTGGAACAAGATTGGAGGCTTAATGTGAAAAGGTTTGTGACCCTTCCCAGACATCTCCATAGTGTTAGGCCGGTAGTAGGTGTTCTGTATGGCTCCCTTGTTTCTCCTACTTTTTAGTAGACACTAAGATTGCTTTTTTTCTTTATATTATTTGTTGATTACTATGGCTTTGATTCTCACCACTCTTTGGATAACTGGATCTTGGCCCTAGACTAAATCTCCAATTATCGTTACCCATCTCCACATAGAGAAGTCACCAGCATATTCACCTCCCAAATTAAGCTTATCATTTTTCCTCTCCTCAGACCCACGAAGCCAGTTCCTCTTCTTTTCCCCTGTATTTCTGTTAATGGCCATCACAGAACACTCTTCTTAGAACTAAGAGGTTCAAAGTTTCAGAAATATTATATACCCCTTTCTACGCCTTGCTTCCACCCAGTCGTTAAGTCTCTAAATACCACTGATGCATGTTTCTTATATGGACTTCCCTTTTGTCCAGCTGCACCCCTACTCTTCTAATTTAGACTCTCATTTCTTTTTTCTTTTTCTTTTTGAGATGAAATCTTGCTCTGTTGCCTAGGCTGGAATGCAGTGGCATGATCTCGGCTCACTGCAACGTCTATCTCCTTGGTTCAAGCGATTCTCCTGCCTCAGCCTCCTGAGTAGCTGGGACTACAGGTGCCTACCACCAAGCCTGGCTAATTTTTGTATTTTTAGTGGAGACGGAGTTTCATCATGTTGGCCAGGATGGTCTTGATCTCCTGACCTCATGATCTGCCCACCTCGGCCTCCCAAAGTGCTGGGATTACAGGCGTGAGCCACCGTGCCCAGCCCTAGACTCTCATTTCTACTGCCCAGTTGATTATAGTAGTATTCCCAGAGTTCAGCTTGAGTTTTGTCTCTACTATGCCTTTACCTGCCAAGGTAAGTAAGAACTTTTCACCTCAGCCATCAAGGCTTTTTTCTTTCTTTTTTTTTCTTTTTTTTTTTTTTTTTTTTTTTTTTTTTTTTTTTTTTTTGTCTTTTTTCTTTTTTTTTTTTTTTTTTTTTTTTTTTTTTTTTTTTTTTTTTGAGACGGAGTTTCGCTCTTGTTACCCACGCTGGAGTGCAATGGCGCAATCTCGGCTCACCGCAACCTCCGCCTCCTGGGTTCAAGCAATTATCCTGCCTCAGCCTCCCTAGTAGCTGGGACTACAGGTGCACGCCACCATGCCCAGCTAATTTTTGTATTTTCAGTAGAGACGGGGTTTCACCTTGTTGACCAGGATGGTCTCGATCTCTTGACCTCGTGATTCACCCGCCTCAGCCTCCCAAAGTGCTGGGATTACAGGCGTGAGCCACCGCGCCTGGCCAAGGCTTTTCTTAGTATGGCACCAACTTAACTTTTCATCTCCCTGAAGTAAGGCAGCACAATAAAGTAGAAAGGGCAGAAATGTGACATCAGAAAGATCTTTTTCAAATTTTGGCTCTATCACTTACTTGCCCTATGACCCCTCAAGAACCTCAATCTTCTTGTCTGTAAATCAAGGCTAATGATACCTACCCTGTAGGGTTATCTTAAAGATTAGAAATAACATCTGTCAAGAGCTTGGCATTAAAACACAGAAATAAACTGTAGCTAATATCACTAAATGGGAAGTGATACACTGATTGAAAATGTTACATTCAAGCCACAGTGGATCTGAGAAACAACCTGTTCATTCCTACCTCTACGCCTTTGTTCCCTAACCTGGAACGCATATTATCCCAGCTCCCAATTTCTGCCACGTTCTCTAAGTACCAACTGAGAAGCTAACTACTACAGAAAAAAAAAAAAAAATCCTTGATTGCTTATGCTTTCCAGGTGCTCTTCCACCCTGGAACTGTGTGATGCACTCCAGCTTAGAGTGGTATCTACTCTCAGTAGTTCTGCGTGTATCTTATACATCATGATCATGTTCAATTGTAAGAACCTTTGTCTCCATAGAGGATTAAAAGCATGAAGTCTGCAAATAGTGAATGACATCATTACATCCCCAAAGCTCTATCTGCCCATTTCTTAATCATTGCCCAAAGTTCAGTATCAAATTTTGCATTTCCAGGAAAGAAAACATAACTATTCACCTAGAACTTGAATTCTGGGTTTAAAGCCTGGCTGAGGCTGGGTCCGGTGGCTCACGCCTATAATCCCAGCACTTTTGGAGGCCAGGGTGGGTGGATCTCTTGAGGTCAGGAGTTTGAGACCAGCCTGGCCAACATGATGAAACCCCATCTCTACTAAAAATACAAAAGATTAGCTGGGCATGGTGGCAAACACCTGTAGTCCCAGCTATTTAGGAGGGTAAGGCAGAAGAATCGCTTGAACCCGGGAGGCAGAGGACACAGCAAGCCAAGATTGCGCCACTGCACTCCAGCCTGGGTGACCAAGTGAGACAGTCTTATTTTAATAAATAAATAAATAAATAAAGCCTGGCTGAGCTACTTACTGGCTATATTTCTTTGGTCAGGTACTTAACCTCCTTGTGATTCAGTTTCCACATCTGTACAGTGGAGATTGCAATGGTACCTACCTCATGGGGTTGTGTAAGTAAATATTAAAAGAAATAACATATGTAGAGGAATATAAAATGTGTTCAGAATATGCAAATGTATAGAGATGGTAGGTAGATAAGTGATTGCCTGAGGCCAGAAAGTGAAATAGACATAGAGGAAGGGAGGAGAAATGGGAAATGACTACTAGTGGTTATGAAATTTCTTTCTTTCTTTTTCTTTTTTTAAGTTGGAGTCTCACTCTGCCACCCAGGCTGGAGTGTAATGGCACGATCTCGGCTCACTGCAACCTCCGCCTCCCAGGTGCCAGGTTCAAGCAATTCTTCCACCTCAGTCTCCCAAGTAGCCAAGATTACAGGCACCCGCCATCGTGCCCTGCTAATTTTGTGTATTTGTAGAGACGAGGTTTCACCATGTTGGCCAGGCTGGTCTTGAACTCCTTACCTAAGGTGATCTACCAGCCTAAGCCTCCCAAAGTGCTGGGATGACAGGCATGAGCCACCACACCCTGCCAGAGTTTCTGTTTTATGTGGTGAACATGTTCTCAAATTGATAGTGTGATGGTTGCACAACTCTATTAACATATTGAGAACCGGGCCGGGCGCGGTGGCTCAAGCCTGTAATCCCAGCACTTTGGGAGGCTGAGGCGGGTGGATCACAAGGTCAAGAGATCGAGACCATCCTGGTCAACATGGTGAAAC